GGTGCTGGGGCGGCGCAGTGGGCGCCCTCGGCCCGTTCCCCGGCTGGTTGGCCGCCACCGACCTTCGCTTGGACCGGGAGCTCCTCACTCGGTTTCGTTCGCTGGGCAGACTCTCCAGGAAAGCGCCCGGGTGTGGAGGCCCCGGCCGCGGTGCCGCCTCCCATCCCACCCGACGCGCCTCTGCGCCCCGAGGGCAGGGTCGGCTCGGGCAGCCGCCACCAGCGCGGAGCCGGCCGGGCCCACACCGGCGGAACTGGAATGTTTACGGCTTCTCCGTTTGTCTAGGATCCCCATCGAGGCCCTGTGCTGTGCAGAGGAAGACCCCGCGGCCCACAGTCCTGCCCAGCACGTTGGAGGCTCGCACCCCGGTTTCTCCTTCTCACTGAGAAGTTCCCCGCCCAGAGGAGGCCTTGGACGGGCCTGGAGCGCGCTACCGACGGAGATGCTTGGGGCTCGACGGTGCTCCACAGCGGCGCCCAGCCTCGGGGCCTGGACTCCGGGAGAGGGGCCGTGGGCTGTGCCCGGGGTTCTCTTCCAGAGATTCGAAAACAGGGGCAGCTGGGGCCCGCTCAGGCCGTCGGGGCGCGGGTCGTGCAGTTCGGTTCCCGCGGGTAGCGCGGAGCCGGGAGCTGGGAACTTCCCCCGCGCGCCCGAAGCGCCAGCGGCCGGCACTTGGCAGGACGCGCGCGCCCTCTAGAGGCGATGGCCGTAGCCCCTCTCCCCGGGCGGCCCTTGCCTCTCTGGGTCGCGAAAGGAGCAGGGCCGGCCTCCTCTGCCCCACCCAAGTGGGCACCGTGCGCGCCCCCTCTGCAGCCAGGGCTCCGAGCGGGAGAGTGGAGGGAACGCGGTGTCCAGCCGCCGGATCCCCGTCTGGGAGCCTGGATGTGCGGATCATGCCAGGCGCCTTCGGACCTGGGGGGTCCGGGCCCAGCCCTCAGGCCGGGTCGGACCCCTTGGTGACCCAGCCCGTTCTTCTGGGAAGGCGGTGGATTAGGCCGCAAACTCAGCAGCGCATAAAAGTAACAAAGGCCGGTGTGCACCTTGGCCTGCACCGGTCTGTCCGAGGCTCCGTATAAATTACTCCCAGGAAAGCCTGGCTCGAAACCGGGGTGCGTGTGTGTGTGTGTGTGTGTGTGTGTGTGTGGGGGGGGGGGGCACCGGCTCCTACTGCCAGTTTGCTCCTTCCCAGCCACCCCAGCCCCTCTCTGCAGCTCTCAACACCCCAGGACAGGACGCTAGGGTGGTCCCTGCCCACTTTCCCCAAACACAAACCTGCTCCAGCCTCTGAAGGCGAAACAAAAGAGAACAAGCCCGCAGCCTCCTGCCCAGAATCTGATTTCAAATTCGCAGGCTGGGGTTGCACTTCCAGCTGCAGTGGGAACCTCCTGAACGACGGCATCCAGGCCTTTGCCCCAAGCCAGGGGCCCAGCTCCTCTTAGCTTCAAAGGGCGCTAGTTCTCCCCGGAGGCGGAAATATATGAATAAATTCATGCCGAGGGTGCTGCAGACGTGAAGGGACCAGGGAAGGCTCTTTAGGAAGCAAGTCATCTGTCGTGGGCCTGGGTCAGGCCTCGCAGCAGCCGCTCACGCAGAGCTTGGCGGGCTTTACAGCAACTCCCCCGGAATTTTATTGCTGTGTCCTTTTAAAGTGTTACCACATGTGGTGGGTTCGAGGGCTTGAGCGGCTTCCCATGGCAGCATCTCTGGATGCTGGGGGGAGGGGAGGAGCCGGGCTGTTTCAACCTAAAGTACCAGTTTCTGGGCGATGTCTCAAAGTGGGTTCACGAAGTATCACAGCGCCTGGGCCTCTAGTGCTGGATGCCGGTGGCAACACTCACCCCATGTCCCCCCAATTGTGCCCCATGTCCCCTGGGATGCCAAACCGCTCTTTGTGAAACGCTGGTACAGGGACTCACTTCTATAATCGACCCCACACCTTTGCTTAGGAAAAAAAATCCTTTTCTGCACCCCAGAAAGGTGGCCACGCCTCCCCCAGAGCCCCCTCCTTCTATTCTGTCACGTTGGAGGATTTTGCCTCAAGAAGGGGAAAGTAAAGACACTGGTGTTTCCAGGCACCACTCATGACACACAACAGGCTGATAAGTAAAAAAAAAAATTTTTATTGATATACTAAGTGAAAAGGCAAAGGTCTGACACATTTGCTAGTCTTTCCCCTGCAAAATAAATTAACGTCTAAAAAAACCCCTGCAACCTATTGCTAGTGTTAGTTTCCCAAAAATACTACAAAATGCACAGAATTTTTAGATGCATGTGAGCAAAAATTTGGCCATCTAGGCATACCTTTCCCTGGCTCTCACCCCGTCCTCCAAACCCTGGTGGGCTTCCTGGGGGAGGCATTTCCTTTCACTGGTTGGTCCTGTTTGAATTTGGGGGCTGGGCTGCTGTCCTGTTTCAACAAAGACCTTAGGTTTCCCAGGGAAGTAACATACCCACTTTTGTTCTAAGAAAGCAAACAGCCATAATGTAAAGCAATTAAAAGTGGTATACACAAATAATTTGGCTTTTTCTTTTAATTAAAAAACACACAAATCAAGCCAATGATTGGCACTGGCCCACAGCACTGGTCTTTCCCCAAAGTTTACCCCCAATGAAACCTCTAGCGAGGCCCAGGGCCCTCCGAAAGTCAGGTCAGAATTCTGAGTGTAACCAAAACAAGGAGCACTCTTTTTGGTACCAAAAATATATGTATAAAAATATGCCAACCCCCCCAAGAGGAGGGCAGACCGGTTACTTCTTCCCACCCAGTCACAGAAGCAAAGACAGGACCGGACCGGACACCCATTCCATGCGCACTGTGCTTTCTGCGCGGCAGGAGCCCCTGCGGATCGAGGAAATCTCATGCTGGACATGTGACCGATGCCTAGATACACGCACACGCGCACACACACATAGCAGCAAATAAAACAGGACGACTTTTATTAATTGGTAAACATGGCGCCCAGCTCAGAGCACCTGGGCCGGCTCCAGCAAAGGCGGTCACACCTGCGCCCACTCACACACACACCGCTCGGAGTCACGGCACCAAGGAAACACGGCACCAAGGAAACACACACACCACACAGCAAGGCAAGGTGGCCGGGAGCAAGGTGTTTGCAGGTTCAAACTTTGGGATTGAAATAGCTGGTGAACAGAAAGGCACCGCATTCGCTGGGTCTCGAGACCTGGCTGCTGGGGCTGCAGGCCGCCCACAGGCTCAGGGGGGCGGCTGTCAGCTCCTCTGTGGGGGAGGAACCCCTCTGATCACACCCAGGGGACAGCAGGGGAGGCCGGAGCCAGAGGCCCAGTATATGCTGGGACCCCTTCCTCCCCCGCCTGGGCGTGCAGGTGGCCATTCTCCCTTTACTGCCCACTTTCCAGTTTCAGCCTGGTGGTCGGGGTCCCCTCGCCCTCGGCTGCCAAGGTGGGCACCATTCCTGCAGCAGCCGGCGGGGCTGCCATGTTCGAGCCCCAGCTCCTGTGGAGACCCCGCAGTGGGGCCCTGGACACAGGCTGTCCCCAAAGGCACACAGTTCAACAGATTTGGCTACAAAGCCCCGCGTCCTATTTGGCACGGAGGGCGGGGCTGGGAGTGGGGAAGGGTCGGAGGTTTACAAAGCTCACCCCGGGTGACAGCTTGTGTA